CGCAAAAAAGCCCCAATCGCCATTTTCGCGATCGGGGCTTTTTTGCGGAAAACAGTACTGTGCTGTCTACACTGGCACTTTTGCGCAAAAGTCTTTCGGAAAAAGACTTTTGCCCGAACAGGAGCAGCATAGTTTTTCCGGAAAAGCACTGATGATTTTACAGTAGATCGTCAGTGCTTTTCCGGAAAATCAAGCGGCCCGTGTAGACAGCTGGCAAGTTTTTCCGGAAAAGTGGCTCATTTTCCGGAAAAACTTGCCAGTCTAGACACAGCTTAAGTGTTTGGATGGGATGTTTGGAGTCAGTAGCCAATTTCCTCCGACTGCCCCCACAATTACTATGTTGTCTTTACCATTCCCTTTTGTGCCATCCCAGGCATATGGAGATATACCTGTCTCATAGAGTTGGAAGGGACCTCGCAAAGTCATCGAGTCCAGTCCCCTGCCCTCAGCTAGGACCAAGTACCATCTCTGCCAGATTTGCCCCCGATCTCTAAATGGTCCCCCTCAAGGATTGAACTCACAACTTTGGTCTTAGTAGGCTAATGCTCAAACCACTGAGCTATTTCTCTCCCTAAGAAGGCAATGACTCCTGCCTTGATTCTCTCTTTCTCTTCCCCCACAGGTGATGACGAGACGGGGAATCCACCACTGGAAGTTCCTGAGAAAGTAGAATTGCAGGGGACTTTGCTGAGAAGAATGCTAATGCTCAAACCACTGAGCTATTTCTCTCCCTAAGAAGGCAATGACTCCTGCCTCCATTCTCTCTCTCTCTTCCCCACAGGTGACGACGAGACGGGGAATCCACCACTGGAAGGTCCTGAGAAAGGAGAATTGCAGGGGACTTTGATGAGAAGAACGGAAGAGCTTTTTTCCCAGTGCCTGGAACAAAGAGACGCCTGGGGTAATTGGCCAGAAAGGACGCTGGGAAACAACCTGTGTCAGAAAGTGGCTGAATCCGTTGAATGTGGGAGAGACGGCGATGGTCCTAACGAATGCACGTCTCCGCAGAAAGATCCCAAGGATAAGAAACCCTATAAATGCTTGGATTGTGGGAAGATCTTCAATCGGCGCTCCGGCCTTACTAACCATAGGAGAGTCCACACAGGAGAAAGGCCCTATCCATGTGTGGACTGTGGGAAAAGTTTCAGTCAACGCTCCGGGCTTATTAACCATAGGAGAATCCATACAGGAGAAAGGCCCTATAAGTGTGGGGACTGTGGGAAAAGCTTCAGTCAGTACTCGGGCCTTATTAACCACAGCAGAATCCACACAGGGGAGAGACCCTATAAATGCGTGGATTGTGGGAAACGCTTCGATCGGAGCTCCAATCTTACAACCCATCGAAGAGTGCACACGGGAGAGAGACCCTATAAGTGCCTTGAGTGCGGGAAAAGCTTCAGTCAGCTCTCAGGCCTTATCAGCCATAGGAGAAACCATACTGGAGAGCGGCCCTACAAATGTCACGAGTGCGGGAAAAGTTTTGGTGTGCCATCCGCCCTCCTTATACACGCGAGAACCCACACGGGAGAGAAACCCTATAAATGCTCGGATTGCGGGAAAAGCTTCAGTCAGCGCTCACGCCTTATTAGCCACCAGATAATCCACACGGGAGAGGGGCCATATAAATGCCTTCAGTGCGGGAAAAGTTTCAGCGCGCCTTCCGTCCTCGTTATCCATCAGAGAACCCACACGGGCGAGAAACCCTATAAATGTTTGGACTGCGGGAAAAGCTTCAGTCAGCGCTCCGTCCTTATGACCCACCAGCGAATCCATACGGGAGAGGGACCCTATAAATGCCTGGAGTGCGGGAAAAGTTTCAGTGTCCCGTCCGCCTTGATTATCCATCAGAGGACCCACACGGGAGAGAAACCCTACAAGTGCTTGGAATGTGGGAAATGCTTCAGTCGCAGCTCCCATCTCGTTAGCCACGGGAGAATGCACTCGGGAGAGGGGCCGTATAAATGCTTAGCCTGTGGGAAATGCTTCAGCCAGCGCTCCGTCCTCGTTAACCATGGGAGAATCCACACGGGAGACGGGCCCTATAAATGTCTTGAGTGTGGGAAAACTTTCGGTGTCCCATCGGCCCTTCTCATCCACCAGAGAACCCACACGGGAGAGAAGCCCTATCAGTGCTCGGAGTGCGGGAAAAGCTTCAGTCAACGCTCGGGCCTGATTAGCCATGGACGAATCCACACGGGAGAGAAACCCTATAAATGCGCAGAGTGCGGGAAAAGCTTCAAACGCAGCTCAAACCTTATTACGCACCGGAGGCTGCACACGGGCGAGAGGCCCTATAAATGTACAGACTGTGGGAAGAGCTTCAGTCAGCGCTCTGGCCTCATTAGCCACGGAAGAATCCACACAGGCGAGAAACCCTATAAATGCGCGGACTGCGGGAAAAGCTTCAGCCAGCGCTCCGTGCTCAGTAACCACATGAGAATCCACACGGGAGAGAGACCGTATACATGCGCGGACTGCGGGAAAAGCTTCAACCGGAGCTCAAATCTGGTCACCCATCGGAGACTGCACACGGGGCAAAGTTCGTAAGCGCTCTTTGCAAGCTTCGGGGAGAGCTCCCAACTTCACGAGGGAAAATGAAAGTGCCTCCACCATGGGATACGTCCCGTTGGACGATCAAGCCTTGTTTCACGTCAGACAATCCACATGGAAGAGAACCTCCCTCCCAGAAATGCTTGGATGAGGGGAAAAGTTCCAAAAGTTCAGGGGGAAAAAAAATCATGCTTCCACATGTCATAATGGATGGAAGAAAGACCTTGAAAGTGGGGATGGTCTTTCATCAGAGATGCTTCCACGAAGGAGAGACATTCTATCAGCGGGCTGACTAGGGCCGGCCCTATTAAAAACTTCCCATTTCCTTAATTCCCGCACACTGCAATGGCGTGTGGTTCCCGCGTGCCTGTCTCTGGCAGCCGGTCCGGCAGCAGCTGCCTCTGAGCCAATCGGGACTACAGGCTTCTGTCTACTAGACTACAGGCTTCTGTCGACAAAGAGCGTCTAAACGACTTCCAGTTCTGTCGACAAAGCAAGCCGCTTTGTCGACACAAGAGTGTAGATGCAAAGGACAGTGGAGAGGCAAGAACGCCTTCTGGCAACAGAACTCTAGTAGACTGTCTACTAGACTACAGGCTTCTGTCGACAAAGAGCGTCTAAACGACTTCCAGTTCTGTCGACAAAGCAAGCCGCTTTGTCGACACAAGAGTGTAGATGCAAAGGACAGTGGAGAGGCAAGAACGCCTTCTGGCGACAGAACTCTATCGACAAAAGGCGTTATTCCTCGTAGAATGAGGCTTACTGCCATCGACAAAACTGCCGAGTTCTGTCGACGTTATGTCAAGAGAATGCGGCAGTAGTGTAGACGCAGGTATCGTTTTGTCGACAAAAGTCCGTGTTTGTTGACAAAACCGTGTAGTCTAGACACACACATAATGTGAAGGGTTGGTTGGTGTTGGGAAGGAAACTGGGGGGGGGGGGTTCGTGATTGGGTCTGATGGAGGTGCTTAGAGGGAGCTACGGAAATCTAACGTTCAAGACGATGGGATAAGCTCGCGGAAGGGAGATGCAACCTGTCCTCCCTCACCCCCTCTGCGTTTAGAAAGCACCAACAAAAGGGAGTGTATTTCACAGGGTCTTTTGTGGCGGTCTGGCCACACGGAACGAAACTAACAGCCTGCTGCAAACCCGGGACCATCTCCGTGGCCTGCCCTAGAGGAATTGCCTAGTTTTTACCAGGTTGTGTGTCTGTCACCTCCCAGAACACCTTAGGACAGATGAGTTCTGTTAATCCCGGGTCGGCTATCCACATAGCTCTCCGCCCAAAGGATGAGACACTCCAGCAATAATTCCTTGGTGACAAAGTAATTATTTAATCCAATCAGTCATGGTGTAGTTAATAATGAACTTATAACACTAGCTACTGTAGAGCTATGCAATCAACCATACAAGCCACGCAGCCGGTACAATGCTGCGTGACAGGTCACACCGATTCCTTATACGTACGGTAAAATCCTTAATACAGTGTTGTCATGTTAGAGCAAACCTATTACAGCGTAACATACAGAACCCTTCTATCAGTGTTTCTTTAACTTTTTAAGACCGAGGAACACCAAACAATTTTTGTTTTATGAGGCACACCAAGGATTTTTTGTTGGGAGGCAGAAAAAAAGGGTCGTGAGGGAAAGTTATTGAGGAAAAAAAAAGTCACCTGCCCCTTTAAGGGCGGCTATTTTGAACTCTGTTCTCCGTAACACGGTTTAAGGAACACTGCCTTATATAGCATGGCATAAGAGTGGGCGTACTCGGTCAGACCAAAGGTCCGTCCAGCCGAGTGTCCTGTCTGCCCACAATGCCCAATGCCAGATGCCCCAGAGGGAGGGAACACAACAGATAAACCTTGCGTGATCCATCCCATGTCACCCGTATCCAGACAAACAGGCTAGGGACACCATCCTTACCCATCCTGGTCTTCACCCCATCTCCTGGCGAGGAGTTCCACAAGTTACAACAAAGCTTCCTTTGGTTTATTGTAAACCTGCTGCCTGTTCATTTCATCGGGTGGCCCCGAGTGAACGTGCGTCGGTCGTAACGTATGCACGGTCATCAGTCCATCATAGAGTGGGTGGGGTAAAATCTATCCAGCTTTATTTGCAGCCATTCCTTATAACCAAGCGTGTTCTACTTGCTTCCCATCTTCTTCCCTCCTCCTGACGCCTCTCGGTCTTTCTGCTCTACCCAAAGTGGCTCCATCCCTTTTATGGATTTTTTTTTTCTCGCTTCTCTCTCTCCTCTGCTCACACGATCGGCTTTTCTCCACTCCCTGCCCTGATCCTCTCTGCTCACCGCAAACCGGCCAGCGCTCGTCTTTGGAAATGATTTTTGGCCCTTTCTCTTTGGCTGAGCTCTTAGTCCCTGTTTAGCCAATCAACATTACCTGGACCCAGCTGAAAGCCTCTTTTCCACCTTCATGTATGTGGAACAACATTAATCTGAATTTTACTTTGCTCCCGTTACCTGCACGCTCAATTCAGCCAAAGTTCTCCTTTTTCGATTTGCGAAGGAAAAGTCTTTGCAGACGCTGGGTTGGATTTCTAGCTCACCGTCCCTCCAACGACCCGTATTTCTTACCTGCAAAAACATAAGAACGGCTGTACTGGGTCAGACCAAAGGTCCATACAGCCCAATGTCCTGTCTGCTGACAGTGGCCAACGCCAGGTGTCCTAGAGGGAGTGAATCGAACAGGTAATGATCAAGCCATCTCTCTCCTGCCATCCATCTCCACCCTCTGACAAACAGAGGTGAGGGACACCATCCTGGCTAATAGCCATTAATGGACTTAACCTCCATGAATTTATCTAGTTCTCTTTTAAACCCTGTTATAGTCCTAGCCTGCACAACCTCCTGCGGCAAGGAGTTCCACAGGTTGACTGTGCGCTGTGCGAAGAAGAACTTCCTTTTCTTTGTTTTAAACCTGCTGCCCATTAGTTTCATTTAGTGGCCCCTAGTTCTTACATTATGGGAACAAGTAAATAACTTTTCCTTATTCACTTTCTCCACACCACTCATGACTTTATAGATCTCTGTCCTATCCCCGCTTAGTCGCTTTTCCAAGCTGAAAAGTCCCCGTCTCTTTAATCTCTCATATGGGACCCGTTCCAAACCCCTCATCATTTTAGTTACCCTTCTCTGAACCTTTTCCGCATTAGCTCTACAACACACTACGTTTTTAGGCGTGTTTAAGTTCTACGGCACGAACGCCAGTTTGGTTGTATTAATTGGAGTAGGTGACGTATGTTTTCTCCCTCTCTCTGCCTGCTTGCGCCTGGGTGCTTTTCTGAGGGATTGGTTTCCACCCAATCTCTTTTGGGAGGCCGAAAGGCCTCCGGATCCCGCCTCTGAGTGTCTGTGGGTGGAAAATGTTTGGAATTAGCTAGAAAATCTCTTCCAATTCTCCCCCACTTTTCCTATAGTCACAGAGAGGAAGCCGTGTTAAACCAAAAAGCAGTCATGTAGCACTTTAAAGACTAACAAAATAGTTTATTAGATGATATAATAAAATAGTTTATTAGATGATAACATAATAGTTTATTAGAGTTTTCCTAGCCTGGGCTGACCCCGAATGTCTTTTATTATTATTATTTTATTTTATTTTATTTTATTATTATTCGGATCTCTCCAACAGCAAAGAAAGTTTATCAAAGTTACTGAGTTCCTTTTTTGGGGAAAGATTGTTTCATTCCTAGATTGCCTCACGTGGCTCCGCGTTATGCCAAAAAAATGTTTTCATATGTATTCTGATTTCCTTAGGGATCCGAAGTAATTTTGCTGGGGCAGGGACTAGGGATGCGAACGGGTAGCCGGTTACCTGGTAAGCATCCAACGGTGATACTTACCAGGTAAAAGTTAACCAATACCCGGGAGCAGTCCCGACGGCCTCCCCCCCGCTCATCCCTGTTTAATCAGCGAATCTTAACGTTGAACTGGTTAACTCGTTAAATGGGATTTCACATCCCTAGCAGGGAGAGTAAAATGTGGTGAGTTTGGTTCTGTGTTATTTGAAGGTGATGGGGTGACTTGGAGGCTACGTCTAGACTGGCATGATTTTCCAGAAATGCTTTTAACGGAAAAGTTTTCCGTTAAAAGCATTTTCGGAAAAGAGCGTCTAGATTGGCACGGACGCTTTTCCGCAAAAGCACTTTTTGCGGAAAAGCGTCTGTGGTCAATCTAGACGCGCTTTTCTGCAAAAAAGCTCCGATCGCCATTTTCGCGATCGGGGCTTTTTTGTGGAAAACAAATCCGAGCTGTCTACACTGGCCCTTTTGCGCAAAAGTTTTGCGCAAAAGGGACGTTTGCCCGAACGGGAGCAGCATCGTATTTCCGCAAAAAGCACCGATTTCTTACAGTAGGAAGTCAGTGCTTTTGCGGAAATTCAAGCGGCCAGTGTAGACAGCTGGCAAGTTTTTCCGGAAAAGCGGCTGATTTTCCAGAAAAACTGGCCAGTCTAGACACAGCCGGAGAGATTCCCTCCTCCCTCTCCCCTTCGCTGTCATGCCCAGCAGAATATATCCTGTCCGAGTCCCCTGAGAGCTAGAGACTAACACGTCCCGGATCTGTAGGGGGAATTCAGATGAACCCCAAGCTCTGTTTGACCTTTCGGAGCTGAAAACCCTAGTTCTGTTTATTGCTAAAGTGGCGTCTGGGCTTTTTTTCCAGCCATCTGGAGATGGGCAAATTCAGGGCTTTGTTTGTTTTTTGTCCCTTGTTTAATTTCTTCCGTTGGCACGATGGTACCGGGCGTCTCTGCTATAAGTCACCCTGGGATACATCCGTTCTGCACTAAAGTCGTTTAGTGCTTGTAGGAACTGATGCGTTATAAGTCCTCCCATTCCCGCTCTTAAGTTGCGCAAAAAAAAACCCCAGTTTGCGAAAATGCAAGTCGGCCGTGGGAAAAAAAAGTTGTTTTGCTGTAAGTCCAAGTTTTTTTAGTACGTATCTTACACTTAAAGCGAGGACGGCCGGTACAACGTTTGTAAGTGGCACAGCCAAACAACACGGGCACAGCCAAACAACACAGGCACAAGCGTGGAATATCGCTTCTGCAAATATGGCGGCTCATTAGCTATGCAAATGAGACTCAGTGATATTCCACGCTTAGCCTCATTTGCATATCTCTGGCGCAAGATCGCGCGAGTGTAGACATAGCCAGGAAGTTTAGCGAGTCTGGAAGAAAACAGAAATTTGTTTTCCTTATTGTGGGAGTTAGTCTATGGGATTTCACTTCGTGAAAACAAAAGGCTGTGTCTAGACTGACAAGTTTTTCCGCAAAATCATCTGATTTTGCGGAAAAACTTGCCAGCTGTCTACACTGGCTGCTTGAATTTCCACAAAAGCACTGACGATCTCCTGTAAAATCATCAGTGCTTCTCCGGAAATACTATGCTGCTCCCGTTCAGGCAAAAGTCTTTTTCCGAAAGACTTTTGCGCAAAAGGGCCAGTGTAGACAGCATAGTACTGCTTTCTGCAAAACCACTACAAAAAAGTGCGTTTGCGGAAAAGCATCCTGCCAATCTAGACGTGCTTTTCTGAAAATGCTTTTAACGGAAAACTTTTCCGTTAAAAGCATTTCCAGAAAATCATGCCAGTGTCGACGTAGCCAAAAATGTTTTAAAAGCCTGCTTGGTAGCTATTGTGTGTCTCGTTTTTTAAAGCCAGAAATTATAATATGAGCTTGGTGTGACAGGATGAAACACAACTTCACTGAGCACTTTGCGACAAATGCTCCTTTTCCAGCAGAGTCCTTTTTTATACTATTTTTGTACGTTCTTTATCCTTGGTCATGAGATGTTTGTGTCGTTTGAACAGTGAAAATGATCCGTGTCTATCAGCAAACACACCAAGCCCTGGTCTTCCCTTGGACTTTATTTCAAAATAACCTGGCCCCACGGTCAAATTTATAAGCAAACCAAATTTTGATTTAATTTATGGGCTGCGGAGTTTGAAATCTGTACTCCCACTTTCCATCAGGAGTAACGCCAATTCCAAAACAGTAACTTTGAAATAACAGTCGTGTGGATGCACTAGTGCTAATTTGAAATAATTACTTCCTGGAATAATTTGAACTAATTACTCCCCAGTGCTTTCTGGGACTCTTAAGTCCTAGGTAGCGTGTCCACATTAACAGAGCCTGCCTTAGACTAATTTCGGTGCTCGCCTGTGGTGAGGACACGCTAGTTCAAATTTGTTCCATCGGGAGTCAAGCCGAATTCACTAAATTTGAAATAGTTTCCTAGTGTAGACATGGCCCATGTGTGAGAGCTAGATTCACACCCTGAGGGTGTGTCTAGACTACATGCCTCCGTCGACGGAGGCATGTAGTTTAGACGTACCCTGAGAGACCAGGACTGAAGAGGGAAGCCGGCGAGTAGAGTGAATGTCTGACCCCTTCGGTCCTGTGAGATACAGTTCGGAGGAGGAGACGGAGGTGGACGAGGGGAGAAACTATCGCTTGTTCTCTGGAGAGCCAGAGCGCCGAGGGTGAGAACGGAGAACTCGCCACACCCAGGGTCAGAGAGAAACAGGAATCGCCCTGTGAGAACTAGGGGAGTCCTTGGCATTTCTCTAACGCCTGCCTTACAGTTCCCCTGTCACTGCCGGCTTTTTGACCATCATCATGCTTTGCCTTTGCTTTCCTCCTATTGAAGGTCACCTCTGTTTCTTTTCGGTGTCTTTCCCTGCCGGGTGGAGTCTCCCTCAGGCGGAGTGAAGACACGCTAATTCAAACGAGGCGCTCCTGTTGATGCCGGCAGTCCTGCGTCCACGAGAAGGAAGGGAAGTCACTCTGCCTTCGACTTCCCGCAACACGGGTGGCGCCAGATGTAAGACACTTTGACGCAAGCGATGCAATTAACGTCGCAGGAGTTGTGTCCGTTAGGCTGTGTCTAGACCTGGTTTCTCAACCACGGTTACGAGAACCCTTCCGGGTCCTCGAGAGACGTCTGGGGGATACACCTACACCACTGAACTGTGGAGAAAACTGAATTATTGTTTTACATTTTATAGAACTTTTATTATTTTTGTACTTTTTACACCCCAAAATGTCATTGCCCTCCCGGCTGCAATTAAGTTGTTTAAACAAATGTGTTGCAACGGTAGAAAAAAAATTGTGTGTGTCTGAAAGCTGTAGGTTTGCAGATGATACCAAACTGGGTGGGGTTGCGACTTCTTTGGAGGAGAGGGACATAATTCAAAATGACCTTAGCGAGTTAGAGAAATGGTCAGAGGTAAACAGGATGAGGTTTAATAAAGAGAAATGCAAAGTGCTCCACTTAGGAAGGAACAATCAGTTCCATACATACAAGATGGGAAGCGACTGTCTAGGAAGGAGCATGGCAGAAAGGGATCTAGGGGTCATAGTGGACCACAAGTTGAATATGAGTCAACAGTGTGATACTGTTGCAAAAAAAGCAAATATGATTCTAGGTTGTATCAACAGGTGTGTGGTAAGCAAAACTCATGAAGTCATTCTGCCGCTCTACTCTGCACTAGTTAGGCCTCAGCTGGAGTACTGTGTCCAGTTCTGGGCACCACATTTCAAGAAAGATGTGGAGAAATTGGAAAGGGTACAGAGAAGAGCAACAAGAATGATTAAAGGTCTAGAGAACATGACCTATGAAGCCAGGCTTCATGAACTGGGCTTGTTTAGTTTGGAAAAAAGAAGATTAAGGGGGGACA